AAACCCCTGAATGTAGGGGATCATGTGTACATAAATGAGAACGGAATAAGCTAAAAGAAAGTCCAGAAATCATAGGAGAAGCAGAAAGACAAAGTTCATACAGGATTATACAAACAGATGGAAGAATTATAGAGGGGACAGAAGATACCTTTCAAAATGAACTAATCGAAGGAATTCGGTTAAAAATAGTTATCAGAAAGAAAGTAGCGAAATTGAAAATGTTAGTGAGAATGAATCTGTGATTAAGGGTAATACTTCAAATTTAGAACTGCTTTTAAATTCTTTCGTACTTAACATAATTGTTGTATCACAATTGTGAAAGAGATGTTACGAAATTCTGCAAACAGTCAAAAGTATTTTACCCGATTTACTAGGACTCTTGAAAAACCTTATTATTTAAAAATATGTATATAGTCATTTATTTCTATTAAAAAGAGAGATATTATTTTGGAGCAATAACTGAAATATAAAACATACAACCGTAGCTGGAAGTTTAGGAAAGCTGGTGGTAAGTTAGAATAAAAGATGTTTAAGTGATTTTGTGTAATCTCATTTCCACCTATTAATAACTCAACAATATATGTTATAGTGACGGAGTGACTGCCATCATATTTTGATTCGGGCACAACTGTAGAGATATTTGAGCTTTTTCAAAGGAGTAAACAGGTGAAATCAGCTGTGCACTTCATGGAACTATATTTAAATCCCAGGTCTATGTACTAACCACTTACCCCAATACAGCGCTCAAGGGAGTATGCGATAATTCTTTTCAGAGATTGAAAGAATATAAGTAACACTGCATTCTAATACACTTTTACGGAAATGATCCCGTTACCTTTCTAAATGAGCAAATTGTATTTACTTGTCAATCTTTATATTTAAGCGGCACGCACTGAACTGTTGAATATTGATCAAGGAGCTCGAATGTTCTACAGAATGTTTCGGAATATACAGGGTGATTCTAAATTGTTTTTAAAAATTAAGAGTTGTGTTAGTACTCCTTCAGATGAGCAATAATTACCATAGAACATAGGGTAGTATTCCACCCTGAGAGGCAGAAAAGAGGAATATTAGAATTTAAACCAGAACTTAACAACAGTTTTGTGACAGCTAATGAACGAGACCAAAAGTTGCACAATCAGTTTAGTGAAAATCTCACAGAGAGTGCACAAAACGAATAAAACCGAAAACATGGCTTTCGAGTGTTAATTCGAGCTCAGACTTTGATGGCAGACACTCAAAATGCGCATCTTTGGTTGGCAAGGTCTCAACCTCGCAAACGATTGCAACAAGATCATTATCTAAATTATTGGGGGGGATTTCTACCTTGATATCAAATATAAAGGTAGCAGATTTTTTCCCCTTCGCCATCTTCTACCCTGTCTTCCTGGACTTACTGTGCTTCGCTCATTCTACTTGAAGCGCCCTTCTATGGGACACGAAGTTCTGACAGCCGGAACACAGCATGAACTTTTCATGCTAATCGCGACATACAGCGGAAGTTGGAGTTAGCTGACAATATTCAGCCCTTGATCAGATAAATCGTTTGCGAGGTTGAGACCTTGCCAACCGAATATATGCATCTGAGTGTTTGCCATCAAAGTCTGAGCTCGAATTAACGCTCGAATGCCAAGTTTCGGTTTTATCCGTTTTGTGCACTCTCTGTGAGTTTTTCACTAAACTGATTGTGCAATTTTTGGTCTCGTTTATTCGCTCTCCAAACACTGTTGTAAGTTCAGGTTGGAATTCCAATATTCTTCTTTTCTGCCTCTGAAAGTGGAATGCGATCCAATGTTCTATGGTAATTATTGCTCATCTGGGTGAGTACTATCACCCCTCTTAATTTGTAAAAACAATTTAGAATCACCCTATATATATATATATACAAATATGTGTAAGCTATAAAAATATGAAGGAAAATTATCAACAAATTACAAATTTAATTGTAACAAATTACTAAATTTGCAGTTATAATTTTTAATACAACGCCTTCAAAACGTCTATACCGCGTCATTGACGTCATTCTTACCCTGCAGAAAACCGCAATGCGAAATCTCTTGCCAAATCATTAAAAAGGGTTAAAACAAAGGAGCCAAGCTTATAAATACCACTGCAGCCAACTACGCATCCTTTTTACCGCTTGCACGTGCTGCTGAATGACATCTCTTTGCTTAACTTCATTCCCCTTATTTCAAATGTAAGTAGTAAAGTTGTGGCTGTGCATCACGCACCCAAGAATGATGTGGACCGCAAGAATGTTCACTAAAATAAATTTATGTTGTGATTATCTAAGTGTTTGTGGTTTATCTAAAATTAAATCTAGTTAAGATGCCCACGCCATATAACCGCTATTTCCAATCATCTACGCCATCGGTATTTCAGCTATCTTCTAATTTCATTCCACTCTGGCGATGATTGAATTGGTGCCTTCTATAGTCAAGATCTGATCTAATATCACGTTATCTGCAAAGAAATAAATCATCACACACATCCACACACAGACAGATATGTATGTGTATCTATACAGGTTATCCCAGGAATGAATCGCCTGAGATCGGAAAGGAAACTTTAGAGCCAACAAAAATTGAAAGAAGATTCAGGCCGCAGGAAAATTTCAGTAATTCCGATAGAGACACTCACAATGAAATAATCCAAAAGCTCGCAAAGGTGACTGAGTGGTTTTAACAACAAAGTCGATATTCAAGATATTCCATCAACACGTTTTTATCCCAGGCATCAACTCAACAGGAAAGATCAATTCCTGTGGTAAGGCGAAACAAATACCTAAGAATAAGGCTGACACACATGAACACATATCAAAATTATATACACACTAAAAATCTCCATCCGACAATTCACACGTTACATCGTTGGCCACGGACTTCTCGCTACGCATTTCTACATATTTGAAACTTCAAATACTCACCTTTGTATATATGGAGAGCAAGATGTATTGAAGCTTTAGGTAACAGCCGTCCAAATAACAGTAGGATTCCATATAAAGTTCCCAAATACTAGCATTGACCAGATATCTAATTAAGGAAAAACGTTTACACACAAATAACACTATTTCTTCGCTCTCAAGCTAAGAATTTGTCTGTGCCGCCATGATGCTGAAACACTATAGTCAAAGGAAGGAGTGATCAACGCAGTCTAGGCAGATCCCACGATGCAGATGAGAGATAAATTAGGCAATCTTGGTAGATCTCAGGATCAGATGAGTAGCAATCAACGTCTCTTTCACTAGAACCTCAGCCTGGGGAATTTTTTAAAAAAAACTGTACCCCCTACTTTGGGCATTGCGTATAGACGTTAATTTCTGTTGATTACCCAGCCGGGTAGCATTTATACAAAAGATGCTGTCGTAAATGGTGAGAACGTCCTTCATTAGTTGTAAAAATGCCAGGTTTCATTTCAGTGTGAGGTGTTGCATCGTAGGAAGGGCTTTCTTCGGATCATATATTCTGCAAACAGCGCTTCTCGGCGACTAGCAACTGCCTTCTGAAATAAGTCCTTTAAATAGTTTACAATTTAATATAATAATGTATAATTTATATTTTATAAAGATATGTAATCTAGACTTTTGTCCAAAAGCTTCATCATCAGGAGTTTGTAATTTAAACCAAAACACGAAAACTACTGGAAACAAGATCAAAATGATTTCATCACAGTGATCTTGCTTTTTGCAGTATTATCATATTAAAGGACGTTCTTTAGAAAAGCCTCCCATAAAAGCTATTGCACTTTTTGTTGTTTTTCTCATCATTTAAGAGACTTTTCTTCGGTTTTGTTTTCACATCTAATTACATTCACTTTTCTTTACTTTTCTCTCAGCGAAATTTCTGCGCATATTTTAGCATCATTCTCCTAGGTTAATAATATTTTAGAATATGGGATTAAATTACGAAAAGAAATGTTAATTAAAGTGCATAAAACATGTAAAATACTTACTGTATGAAATAATCATTTTTATGTAGTAAATTGGTTTTCGCATTCCTTTAGGTGCTTTAAATAAGTAAACTCTAACGGCATTCTTTAGTTAAAAGATTTATTGTACAAAATATTCATCATATTTAATACTAAAGATAAACGATATTTTTTCATTTAGTGCTTGTCTTTTGCATTTGGTTAGCTTTGGAAGGAAACGTCATGAAAAACATAAAATTTCAGTTTGTTGTATGTGCACTCGAATTTTAGTAAAACGGAAAGAAGAAGAAATATGGAATGTAAAATATTGTTTATTTGTATTTTTATTATTAAAAGATATTACTGAATAGGTTTTTAATGTAATAATATATTTTTTCAAAAAAATCATGCTGCTCCAATTATGAATTTAAGTTTTATGATTTTCCTTTTGTTGCGTTTTACATTTAACTCACATATAATAATAAGGTAATCTTTCCTAATCGTAAGTGCGTACCCGAAATAAGATTAACTCCAATAAACTTCTTGAGGACGAAAAAAAAAAGTTTTTGTCATATTGCTCAAAATGCATAACTCCAGCTCACTTAGAACACTATTATTCCACTTCCATGACTCAGATATAAATAAAACCGTCAGGATGTATTTTTAACACTGCGGTCTCCATTATTATTAGTGCTCTGAAAATGGTTTCAAGTAACATGGAGCAATGTTCGATAGGTCACTGAAGGGCGTAATCCGATATTATTGCATATCTCAGATCTCCAGAGTATATATTCTTTGCTTTTTTGCCCTAGTTAAGTGGATATCTCAAAGGAAATACATTTCTATCGCGTTCTTTGGCGTGAGAGGAAAATATAAGGAACGGTGAATTTTTTCTTGCTTTTTCCCAGCACAAGTGCGTATGCAGTAAGCATTGATCATAGATCTATAGCTTATCTCCGTTTCTTAGTGAGCTGGAGAGTGTTGCACGCAATATTTATTCCATATGGGGTAAAAGAAAAATACAATTGAGGCGTTCCTTTTTCTGTTTAATACCTGACCAATTTTTTATATAAAATACAATGAATAACAGTAAGGAAAGATAAGAAATACCAATAAATTTATTACGTATCAAAATCAAAAAAATTCACACACAATATTTCACTATACGCCACGGCCATCTAAACGAACAACAATTCTTTACGTTCTTATACAACATCTTTTTTTTCTTTTTTTTTCTTTTTTTTCCAGTATTTTCTTTAATTCATTTCATCGAAGCAGCTGTATAAGTCATGAATGGTCCCAAGCCATGACCTTTGACTGGTTGTCACCGGCTCTTACAAGTGGCTGGTTGACTTCCTTCACACGTGCCGGAGCCATCAACTAGATGAAGTTTCAGCTTTCTCATGTTCTCGTGAAGCAATTGGTTGTCCGGATCTAGCATGTATGCTTCATGATAGTGACGAAGCGCTTGATGACACTCTCCCTACATAATAAAAAAAAAGATAAAACGAAAAAACGTTTCCAACATTTAAAAATAACATAAACTACATTTTAACTCATTCAGTATAAAAACAATTTTTGATGACGGTAAAAAATGAAATACAATCTCCAGAACACATCGATATGTAAAAGCAAACGGATGCGTTAAAAGTTTACGAAAAAAAGTAAAAGCTGTCTCTAAGCTTCATTAGTAAGAGAAAATAAATTTCAGTATGCATCACTGTTACCGATGCAGACAACTTATTTCTTATTTATGACATTTTAATCCACCGTAAACTAATTTACTTTTCATTAAGATATGGAATTATACTAAACATATTTAATTAAGAAAATAAAGAAAGGTTCTTTCACATGTAGAAAAATTAAATGTATTTTTATAGAAAGATTTCCATATTTTAATTTAATGCTATAGAGCAAAATTCATCAAAACATTTTTCGCTGTGGAACTAGTTTTTAGTCTCAAAGGAAGGCTCACGCTTATTTTTTAAATGCTTTAATATACCCGTGCTAAAAAAATAAGCAATTTGCGCTAAAAGAAAAGATGAGAATATAAAAAAAGAGAATTAAAACATACAATTCACATATGAGGTTGCATCGCCAAAGGCAAATAAACGACCAATATTAACATAAAATGCAATATCCTAGTCACATTACAACTCCTTAAAAAGGTTATGCTGGTCCCTTTTTAAAGGACCGACCCTTCAGTTCGCAAGCAGTGATAGTTTCGTGTAATCTGAGATAGCCAAAGCTGAAAGCATGAGCCGAAGACACCATTTGCACGAAGAAATGCGTTGAAGGACTGTCGGGATGTTGTAAGCTTTTGCAAGACAATTGGCTGTTGTGAAAGTGCTGAATGTGCATCATAGTGCCATCAACAGACCGTGGAATCCTTACCGAAGGGATCAAAACCCCTACAGAAGACGTGGGTCTGGACGTCGGGGGATTACCACAACAGCAGACAATCGCTTCCTGTTGCTATGTGCAAGACGCCGTAGATCACTAACAGCAGGACAGCTGGCGTCGCATCTGTATGCTACTGCAGGACAGCTCATATCCCGCCAAACTGCATGAAGATGGACTGTAATCCCGGTGACCTGTAGTTTGTGTTACTTTGTCCTCATAGAGCGCAGTTGAATTGTGCCCGTGAACGTCGTAGTTGGACACCAGAGCAGTGGTGACACTTACTCTTTACGGCTGAGTCACCGCTTAAAACCCAGAACGATTCCCGAAGGGCAAAGACATGGGGTGAGGCAGGGACATGTTATCGGGCCCCAAACATCGTGGAAAGGGACCATTACAGAGGAGGAGGCTTACTTGTGTAGGCTCTGATAGCGACGAACAGCCGCACCGACCTCTACGTGATTCCTGGTGGTTCCGTCACAGCCGTCTGATATCGAGAAGAAATTCTACACCCTCTTGTGAGTCATTTTATAGCTGCAATTAGTACCGACGCGATATTTATAGACGAGAACGCCTGTCCGCATAGAACAGCAGTGGTGCGCTGTTATTTGAAGAGTGAAGCCCTTTCACATCTGCCTTGACATGCTAGATCGCTTGACCTGATTTCCATAGAGCATATGCGGGACATGTTGGAGCAAGGGATAGTGACGCCAGGCATCCTTCATGAGCTCCGACATGCATTACTGCAGAAATGGGGGCTACTGCCACAACAAGCTGTCAAAGACATTACAACCAGCTTGCTTCGCTGTTGCCAAGTGTGCATATCAGCTTGAGGGTATCATACCCATTATTAGCTTGAGGGTATCATCTCGTATTCTTCACACTCATTTGTTCTTTCGCGATGTATGTAATACATGTGTTTTTGTATGTCTTTCGCGATGTCGTAATTTATGTGCTTTTGTATATCTGCTGTACTGTAGCTTAGTAATGCCACACCAACCTCTTGTATCAATTTCAGGCATATCCATTAAATAGGTTTTGCTTTATTCCGTGTTTTGCATTTGTCGCATTTTTTTTTTTTTTTTTTTTTTTGAGCAGGAGTGTATTTTAATGCAATGTTTTAAAAACGTGCTAAGTGAAGATTTTTTTTAAGTGGATTATATACATTAACACTCTTTAAATATCGATTGTATCCAGTTTAAGTCACCTAATATAACAAGAGGAAATTAGGAGTTTAAAATGAAGAAATCAAAGAAAAAAATACTTGCAGTTTTTAAAGTATGAGGCTGTGAGATTACTCAGTGTCAAATAAATTAATGTTTAAATATGTTAAATTACTTAAAAGATGCAATACGAAACGTGATAGGCATTCCATTTTGATAAATACTAAACTCGGAGGATATATATATATATATATATCTATCTTTGTTTAGCGACCTAAATTATTTGCATGAAACTAACTTTTACGAAAATTCCTATGTATAATTTCGTTAATATATTTTCCATTGCAATTCGTGCAATTGTGCTTAAAATTCAAACTACCTGTGCCTCATTAAAATTCCTCTTGCAACTTCGTCACTCGTTATTTATACCTACGAATATACTCTTCCTCCCTATTCAAACACTCCCAGCATGCGTAGCTTGTATACATACATATTAATTGGCAGCAAGGATAATGAGAATTCTGTCGAAGTGACTATTAATTTCAAGCGAAGTAGTGAATTCTCGAGAGCCATTTGTTTGATCTGTAACCCAATCACATACCTGAACATTTGAATTTGCATATTATAAATTAGAAACTGCGAGTGAAATGCGCTTTTTTCCTTTCTTTTAGTAATTCATTATCCAGAATGCTCAAAGAAAATATTTGATATTCATTAGTTTTCTATACAAGCTTTAAATTGTTATAGATGTGCATTATAAAGAAGTTCACATCATATCTAAAAAATATCGAGTTTACAGGTTACCGAAAAATAATGAGCCTTAAGTTCACAGTAAAAGTAAAGAAACAGATGTAAATCTTCTAATTTAAAACGAAACATACTACAGTAAATCTTAATATAAATAATTTATTCACCAGTTTAAATGAATAAGTTTTTAGCACTAAGAATTCGAAATTTATAGGATTTTACGTTTATTAATCTATCATGTTATTCTTTTTATCTTCACTGTCACAGGCCGCTCAGACGGAAACACTGATTGCCGTACTGGAGGGCCCTGGTTCGAATCTCGGAGAAGGCATGGATGTAAATTTCTGTTCCTTCATAAGCATTTATTTATCTTCATAAGCATTCTTCATAAGCATTCAAAATTAATCAATAAATACGGAAAAGTAAGAATAATGGATTTATTGTTAAAGATTATTTGTTAAAGATATTAAGATAAAACTAATCTTTGTCATAAGCGCAAATTCTTCGCAATTTGTGGTCACATGATACATTTTTGATTAGAACTCCCCCCACAACTTCTTCAAATTTGGATTAATAATCCTTAGTAACTGCCATACTTTCTTTCAATGTACCAAAATTAGCAAAGATTTGCTATTTCATTTCGAATGCTATTTAGCTGTTATTCAGTGCAATTTTAATGACATAATGATGGTTCAATTTTTATTCATCATTAAATTGTTTTACTTTCTCAATTACTTTAGAGTAATGAGTTTAAATAGAGTTATGAGTATTCAGATACAAGTTTTGAATTGAAAACCATTCTTTTATTATTATATTTCCAGTTAACATGGCATTTCACTAATAATGCATAGTATTTAATGTAGCAAATAAATCAGATTATCTTGGAAAAAAGATTACATTAACAATTTACAATTTCACTCAAGAGGTTGAATAGATTTTTAGTTAAATATAGTTTAAGTCAGATTTGTTCATTAATTCTTTTTCCCTTAAGTGGGTATGGATGGATATCTATTCATGCTTACCCTGTTTCTTCACAGTTTGTTCGACGAATGTATCTACAGTGACATTCTTTGCTTTGTATTCTATGGGGGGAGGAAATGAACTACAGATAAGCTTCTTTTAAAACCTGGTTAAATGGAATTTACACCCTAGGCGGCAGCCCCTCCTTCACTAAATACCGAATATTCTAAGCTCCAAGTTTTAAATCCAACATTTATCAAAATTTTAATTCTTTGTAAAAATTTAAGCCAAATGACAGCTTGCAGTTTCGCAAATATTTATTAAAAAAGCAATTTTAAAACTTTTCCACATAATGAGATTTGGGTTATATCTATCTATCTATCTATCTATCTATATATATATATATATATAGGATTATGAGCATTTGTATAGTTGATATTATATTTCACGTATTTATTTCGTTTGTTTCATTTTACTTATGTAAGTTTTGCCTGAATTACGTATAACTCATTCTGAAGATGATTGTTACGTATATATTTCCTTTACCCTATGTAAATATTTAATTTTCCTTTTCACTGGCTTGATCCTTTTGCAGTTGTAGAGTTGCGCGCCTCCAACTTGCACGCAACCAAGAGGTGACTGTTGAAACTGGAAAAATGACAAAGTCTTGCTAAGGGTTTAAGTCCCTTTTTATTCAAATTAAGAAGTTACAATTGCGTGCTCTTGACGCTCACAAACTACGCCGACTCGGCGGTAAAATAAAAATAAGAACCTGAAAAGAAACTAATAACAAGACTAACTACGAGGCTCTCTAAAAGTAACTAACCTGACCGCGTTTCACAATACCGCTGCTAATTCAGCAAACTTTGAATATCACTATGAACGATTAACAATTCTCCAAGGCAAGCACACAGGCCGAAACGCAGGGTTCTTCAATTTCTGGCTAACTACCTCCGCGCTCGTGAAGTACGAACAGCACACCTCGAACTCGTTTCCTTTCTATTTAACTCAGAATACTTCCGCTGATAATTTGAATCCTTGCGCGTTCTACTAAAATTTACATACTCTGGCGTTGGCAGTTCCAGGGGAAAGTAAGGCTTGACAGGAAAGATAGTTTAAACTTAAAATAAATGTTAGTTAAAATAAATATAAACCCTACACAGTGCAACGAATTTTGCGGTTTTTAATAGTTTAAAAAAAGAAAAGATTGTGTTTTAAGCCTTTTTCTTCGCTTTTACGTATTTTCCTATTTTTATCTTTTTTTATTGTTTCGTATGCGCAAATGTTTATTAATGGACTTACGATTATATTTTTAGGTTTTGTTTTAAATTTTGATCTGATATTTGAGCTGAACATTTATCTCTTCTAATGCCCATCTTCATTCAATGAATTCCTAGTCAGCAAACTAAAAATTTGAACAAAGCTGTCTTTCTTGCACCTAATCTATGTGATTAACAAATGCTACGCATGATTTAAATAAACATAACTTTAATGCGCACGATTACTACGTACCTGAAACTTACCTATCACCACACTTAATACAGAAATTACGCATTTAATGAAAGAATTATCTTTAACATCCGTTACGTAAATATAGAACTTGTACTGTACCTGGAGATGATTAATGACAGCTAGATTTACATGAGCATGAGACAGTTTCGGATCCAGTTGAATTGCCATTCTATAACTCTGAAAATTAAAGTTATAAACATTCAAGCAATATCAAATTAAACAATCTTTAAAGGAAAATATTTATTACATAATCAGTCACGTGCAAATATAATAGGAACAGCCAATACAAATTGCCAGATTGCATTCATACTGAATAGAAAAAAAATACAATAACTCAATACGGCTGCAACGCTTACCAAAAACTTTTGAAGTTTTCCAGGAATTTTACACCATTTTATAACACCTAGGTTTACGTCAAGAAAGGAACCATACTTTCTTAATATGTAATACTTTGATGATGATTGCAAGATGAAAGGACGGAAAATTACGATCAAAATAGAAATGTAAAGAAACTAATAATCGAATTATAGTACAATGTCAAATGATATATCAGATAAAAAAATTAAAATTGTTTTATAAAAATATTTCAGTCCTTCTTCACATTTTTAACAGTAAAAACAAGAAAAACCCGTAAGCAGTTCTGTACGCATCCAGAAGGGTTAACGGCCTTAAAGACATCAAATATCAAATACATGGAGTCTGAGAGACAAGTTATAATTCTTTATCTCTATAAAATAAAATTCCTTCCGCTAGATAATATTCTAACACAACAAGAAAGTATTTCTATGGAAAAATGCATTAAATAAAAAATATTTCTACCAGTAATATATTTGTTAGTGCTACGTTCTTTCTGAAGTTATTAATATAAAACCAAAACGCCATGTTAAAGTAGACACAGCATGACTAGGAATGCAGAAATGAAACGGATCTACCATTTAACCCTTTGCGGCACAGTGTGTCCGGCCTGGACACAGCTACAATTTTCCTTCTGTACGCGCAGAAAAATTGAATGAAAAAGGATTTTTGTTTACTATAGGTTACTCTGAACCTTCTTTATTTATAGTTGATGGCTGCTCAACACAAACCAGTCCATATATTTCAGCCATGTTTAGTTTTTTAAGACCCTCATTTTTCAAAGAAACCTTCCAGATTTTTTTAGGGTATAAAAAGAATTGCTTGAAAAGAAATTTCTATGTTTTTCTTTTGGCTGTATGCTAATCGCCGTATTATACATTAGTTTTAAATTTTAACCTTGAAATCTTGCCTAAAATCAAACGGCGAACCCTAGTTGTGCCCAGACCGGGCTCACCGATAATCTAGGAAAACTGAGATTTTGTATTCTAAGTTTCTTTGCATCTCAGCTGTTGGTCAGTTCATTGATAACAATGTTCGTTTCAACACTCTTTTCGAAGCTGTATTCAATCAGTGTGCCGCTTTGGGCACACCCACAGAAATAAAACGATAAGTGCTATCTTCACAAAATTTTACTCGTGTACTCCTCTAGGCCTAATTAGACTGCCTACCTTTTATTTTTATCAAAACTCTGACTTTTAAAGGTAGCGTGCCGGAAAGGGTTAACAAGTAAACTGCATTCAAAATGATTTCAATTTAACGTCAGCGATAAAACATTTGGAACACTGAGTAAAGGCATTGCCAACCATGTTCAAGATTAATCAGTGAAAGCAGTATAGGATAAATTAGGTTGCACTAAAATAGATTTATCTTGAAATTAATTTAACTGTGAATAATTACAAGAGAAGAAAATAATATGATTAACCCTCCGTTCTCTTAGCATCAGTAGACTATTTGCAACTGAAAAAACTGCAGTATTTAGCAATAGTTAGATCATTCGTCAGTTACTTTTCTAGATTTGTTCAATCAGATTACGTGAATGGTTTTATTTATACTGTTCACATAAGTAATTTGGACATAAGCATCATCACCTGTATTGTAAAGCAATATGCAAAATAGGCAAAAGGAATATTTTTTGAAATTTAGAATATGAATAAATATTTATGTTTGATGTAGTGGGAGGCTGCAAAAGGTTTTAGGCTACCATTTATGTTATATTTTTTTTTATGTAACCACATGACTTGTCCTCTCAAATCATAAGATATAATTTGCTGTAATCTTGTGAAGAAGCACTTAGTTAAGAATCATTCGAACAAAATTTAAGCGACAATAGTTACCATCTTCCTTAGATAACAACAACTTAGGCATTCACGGACGAGAAAATCATAAATTCGACTGAGGTCAAAGCTCAGATTTTACGGTGACCCCTGATTAAAGAGAATCTTTTGAGTACGGCGAGGTCCTTTTCAGCGTTGCACGAGCCTATAATGCGTTCTCGAAAGTAACGGAGGGGACACAATAGGAATGCTAATTTGCCATAATGCTAGTTCAAAAATGGAGGTAAAGCTATGGAATTATATGGTACCACACTATCTAATGGTTATAAATGTAAATAAAATAATTACGTTACAATATTTTAAACTTTCGTCACTGCAGTAATTTTAGAGAGTTCTGTGCTAATCGCTTTACCATTAATTGTAAATTTTCTGAAATGCAAGTTTTTAAAGTACTTATGACTCTCGGATCACCCTGTAAGTAACAAGAAACTATGACTATTACCTTCCGCATGATAGTCGATAATGAGCTCATCGTGGACCGAGGAGGTCATGGACTAGAAGATTTTGCATACTAAGCTGGAAACAAATACGCGAAACCAACGGTAGACGCTTTACGCGCTATTTATATAACTAGCATAAAAAATAGCATACACCTGAAAAGTTCAAATTAATCCAAGAAAAGAAAGTATATTGTGTAGATAGCATCGAAAAAGTCAAAATTTTATAAAAAATGGCGAGAGGAACTATTTTCTTTGAATGACTGGAATTTAGCATAAATATGGCAACTCATAAAATTTTGTAATATATTGAACATAACAATGTAGGCTTAATAAATTCCTGTATACTTAACAATATTGCCTACTAAAAAGATTATATTTTCTTAAAATAGCCAACTAAAAAGCCCTACCCGTTTTTTTAGCAGAGATTAATATTTTAGAAACACTTAAGATTTTTCACTTGCACTTTAAGCATAAGTTTGAAAGAAGCGTATTTCCTTACTTTTACTTCATGGATGGGTACTTAAAACTATTGTTATTTTTATTATATAAAGCTACAGCACACATGTATGAACTGTGCATTCAAGCTTACCATCTTCTGTGTGTAAGTCTGCTTAATAAACTATAGGATTCTCTTTTATGGGAAGCAGCTTTATATTCAGAAGAATTCGTCATTTTAGATTTCATAAGCGTTAAATATAAATTGGCATATATCTTTTACATAATAAATATGTTTCCAAAGTATTTAATGGAACGAGGTACGTTTTCGTAGCATCTATAAATATAGCAACATTTATCACACATTTAATATTTGCAAAGACGAAATGAATAGTTTCTACAAGTATAAATATAAGATGCAAATGGTAAGCAACAAAATAGATTAACTTGATTAGAAAAATCCTTGTATGCTGCCAACAAACATTTCTATCCAAATAGAAAATGCCTCGTTCCACTTCGTTTCATCTATTTAATAAATCTCAATAGAATTTAAGTAATCAGAATATTTCCTTTATGAGAAACGATAGGCACTGTACTTCAAAGAACGGTTTCCAATCGAACTAAAATCAATGTAATGAATCGGAATGCTAATCTTTTCAAGCGAACATAATTATACATTCAAATGAGCTGAATGTTCAGTTATCTGTTTAAATATAATTTTAGTATTCTATATGTCCTGAATATAGTTTTAACCTTCGTTGAACTAATACTCGAATTGAATGAAATATGTATTCACCTCCGTCAGAATTTACGACGATAAGAAGGGAAAAATGCTACAAGTTAATTACCTGAGCGGCGTCATCCCATTGTTTCATGTCTTTCAGAATGTCCCCATGATCGACGTGTAGTTGAGCGCAAGAAACGTCTGAAGATAAGCAATGATTCAGGGATTTCAGAATGTGTTCCAGTGCCTTAAATAAATAATATGAATATGTTAGTGTCAGGAACTGCCATTTTTATTAGATAAAACGAAGTACTTATACATTATGTTAAGAAGAGGTTTGAATACTGAATAATTTTAAGAAAAATAAACTTTTTAATATTATATGTTCCATTACATTCTATAAACAATCAAAAGTCAGAACTTACGTTTTCCGTAAATTTTCGATTGATGTGCATTGAATACGTCAATAAAGGTGCAGTTGCCGTATATTATCAAACACATATTTTATTTCTGTTTTATACAAAATGATTAATGTATTCAGCTTCAGTATGAAGGGATACATAACGACATTGTGAGATATTTTTATTAAGATTATTTTCTGTAGTACTTCTGAGATAAAATTTATATGTTTAGCTATTTGTCCAGTAATTTGAAACTAATAAGACTGTGCCGTTATTGTAATAAGATAACTTGATGAAAGAAAGTTGCAACGGATTACCGTTGAGAGGCAGTACTGCGTAGTTAGGAAAATGACACTATAAGACAGACGTGGCCGATACTTTAGAAAACATAATTTTATTCCACCACCGTGGGTGTGCCTCTTACCCCACCAATTCTGTAATCTTATTTTAAGAAACTTTGTAAATGGATAATTTTGTGTATGTTGTATATGTTACCGTGAAAAACCGAAATTGGAGAATGTCGACTTTCATTGGAGAATATCAACATTCACCAAATACGTCGGTGAAAGACCGAATATTTCACTACATTCTTGTATATTCAGACCCTCACCGGTGTATGTCGATAATCACAGATATGCTCTGGTGAAAGTCGAAAAGAGAGGTCAAAAAGTGCCATAATAGTTTAAGTTGTTGCAATAAATAAGATTTGAATCACATAATTTAGTAAGTTTTTTATTACTGTTATTTTATTTTCTCATTTAGAACGTACTGTATAATTAAGTAAGTTTTTAATTTCTATTATTTTCCTTTCTCATTTTGAATGTATTGTGTGTTTTAGGTTCTCATGCTCTTAAGTTCTTATTTCAAGTTTCAAATGCGTTTATTCGCGACTGAATTACGGAGAAGAAAATATAATATTGTTATATGTTCAACATTCAGCATTAGTACATGGTGAATGTCGACATTGACCGATGTAAGTCAGAATTAAGAGTATTTGGAAAATATTTCGGACATACACCAAGAGACTATGTGAAGTTGACATTCACCGGTGAAAGTCGACATTCTCCAGATTTCGGTGTTTCACCGTAACATATGTTATTGATTCAACCGGAAAGTTCTGCCTGCTACTTTTAGGTGAAAATATAAATGAAGCCGTACAAAAACATAAAAGAAATTTCCATACAATCACATAAGCACCCTTTTATACTATGACTTTTTCTCATCTCTTCAACAGCTGAAAAAATACTTTTCTAAAAATAATTTTAATTATTAAGGTTATTGAGCTATTGAGTCATAAAAAAGGTGAAATGCTGTTGTAAAATCTCCAAAGAAGCTTTAAGACATTCAAAGAATTTGAATTGACCTGAAGAGATTAAAACTAGTGGGGCAAGGTCTAGTGGATATGTGGGATGACGGAAAACATCTAGCCATATTTAATAAGTCTTTTTCTGACATTCGTAATATGGGGTCAAACATTATCATGATGGAAGACAATACCTCAACAACTCAACAAATGGGCAGTTCTGGGCGCTTTGCTTCAATTTCTGCTTTTAAAACTGCCATTTAGGAAGAGTATTTTCCGAATTCATAGTCTGATTTGGTGACAAAAATTCACCAAATAATAATGCTGACAATAATTCATCACCTTTGTAGTCTGACCATGCAAAATCTCCTCCCAATGTTACAGAAGAACGTTCTTTTGTCTTATCCCATGACCTTTTTTGTAACATTATTGCGTAGTATCCATTTTCAACTTCCAATAATGATCCGTTTCAAAAAGAAGTTCGCTTTTTCAGCAAATAATCACACACTAAAACTCGAAAAAGCATATTGTTTCTTTCTTCGTTACGTACGGTAAGGGTTCGCGGATTTGGAGTGAATAACGACGACAGCACTTGACGAAGTATCTAAACACAATTTATTGGCCAGTATTTATTCAAGACAACTCAAAAGGCACGCTTACAGTCGTAAAAATATATAAATAACTACATAAATTCAAAAAGAAACGAAAATATGGCAAATGAGATAGACAATAGGACGAGATGTAACTGAGCAAAAGATGGAAAATAATTAACGAGAAGAAGGAAATGAAAGGAAAATGAAGACGCTAATAGGGTTAATAGGGCTCAATAACATATTTCAGAAAGCAAGTACTCAGACTATGAGAATCGCTCGTGCTCATGACACGCATTTGTGTACAAGTTTATACATGCTCACAACTGCAATTTTCTTTCCCCGAAATGACCTGATTTTAAATCTTTTTTATACATGTAGACGATAAGAGTCTTCGAATTGCAAAAGTTAACCTTAAATATTTAATTTATGACTATTTCGTTCCATTTTATTACTGAATAGATTTGTCTGTAATATTATAGGATTATCAGTCAAATTACGGGAAAAATTTTATAAACGCTAAACAGACATTTTTTTAAAACTACCAGTATTGCAAAACAATTAAATTAAAAAAACAGCAAAAATATTTTAATAATATATTAAATGAAATAACTGCATTTAGCATTTTACTTCTTAAATTCACAGTAAATCCTAAGCATTTATATCCTTTAACTAAACCAAGAGAGGCCATTATATTCCTTTCCTCATTTTGAATTAGCCTTCAAAGCTTATATTTTTTCGTTCTTGCAGCTGTAACTTCTTTGCTGATAAGAAGGGTATTGTAACTTATTTCTATATTTAGTCTGTATTTAAAATAAACTCTCTAAATATTTACTTACTGAATTTCTATCCTCAGTATTAATTCCTCTGCTACTATACATATCAATAAAAAATATACATAATAAGAAAATAAAAATAATAATCGAATAATAAAAATATACATAATAAAAATATACATAATAAAAAATATCATGCACAAATCAATAAAAAATACATGTAACAAAAAACTGGTTAAAGTTATCAATGTACTGCATTAATAATGCAGATCACGGGAAGAATTAATATACTGTGCGTCTAAAATTTACTTTGTGAAGTATTTATATCTTTTCTGTGAGCGACTGACCGCCAGCGTAAAATGAAAAGTATAGTATAGATACAGTATAGACACTGACAATAATTTTACTGGAAACTATGAGCTCCATGCACAGAAATTAGGCATAACCATAAGACACCTCATTCTCCCTCCTTTCTGCATGCCTTCATGGTGTAAAGGTAGCACACTCGGCAAGTATTCGAGAAGTCTAGGTTCGAGTCCCGGGGAGGGCATTGCTCATTTTTCACGAATTTCATCAATTGTTCATGTTTCGAAGAAATCCTAATGTCTCTACAGTGCCCCATTCCGAAACTAAAAGTTGGTGGATGATGATTCTTCTCCATCAGGATAAATTTAATGACGTGTATGCAAATCTATGCAAATCTAAGTTAGTTGGAAACAGTGCTTTAGCGGCAGTTTTAAGAATTAGGAATAGGAGAGTTAGTTCTAAATTTATGCCGCGTGGTTGATTTAGTATTCACGTAGTTGCATAGTTGATGCTAAACACTTTCTTTAGATTATATTTGATATTCTAAGCTCGGCTTTGCTGTATGCAGCTGATTTAGTGGTTCAGATAAAGATAGAACCAGTCGTGTAGCCAGTCATAGACTCTGCAATCTAAGGAACATATGTTCAATATTTGAGACGGAAATAAATAATTCTTTTTAAATTGCAAGGTCCGTATAAGCACGTTATGCTTGTTGAACGAAAATATCATAAAAACACTGTCATATCACAGGAACTTGCAGCATGTCCCTTAAGTAAAGGAGATCAAATCAGTCATCAAAATTAAAAAGAAGAAGTATAATATGCTTCCATGGCTTCCCTTCTTTAACTGCGTGAGTTTAAATTGCGTATAATATTCCACTCACTCGAAGAAATAAAAACATTTCTGCATCGCAACAACGCTTTTAAGAGACTAGGTCATTTCTAAAAGGAAAATTTCATTGAGTTTGGCTTGCAAAATGTTGAGTTCCATCCCGTGTTGCTTCCGCTTTTTTTTCTCTGTTTCATTTTCTTAGAAACACACATTTGAAGTTGCATTCGATTTTAAAAGTTAATCCCCGCCTAATTTACTGCGCAATCTGCATGGGAATAAAAATTAAGTCCAAAGCATGTTTTTGAAACAGTCTAAAAATAATAAAAATAAAAAAAAGATTGGAAAATATAAATTTTCTGAAAAAAGACGGCTTAAAGCCAGTGGACCAGAAACAACACGAACTCAATCGACGCTTTAACAGAACATGTTATACATTTTTAAGTAACTGTTTTTATGCCGGTTGAGTTGGCGAGTTTTTTTCTTAATTAATGCTTGGAGAACAGTTTCCTTTTAATTAAAATGCGGAAAACATTCATGCGTAAGCCGATTACGTTCAGTGTTATTTTAAAGTAATCTCATTTTATTTAAAAACATTTGACTGGTAATTACTTTACCATACGACAGAGAAAGTTTAATTGATTGAACATAAACTACCTTAAATTTACGGATGAAATTCATTAAATATTTAGCATATTAAAATATAACTCTGTTTCGTTTCGCTTCTTTTACGTATTTACAACTACATTGTTCTAATTTATTTACAACATAACATATTCTGCTGCCTAGAGGATTAAAGCTAAAGCTTATCTTAGTTTCCAAACCTTTGTCTTTTCTTTAGTTAGGTCTTCAAAGCCAATTCTAATACAAGATACTATTTTATTTATACCAAAATCTTTCGTTTCAAAAAGAAGAAGCTTGTTTTGCACATAACTGATATTTTTCCCTTTATTTTCATTCTTTGTTCCTTGAAGCTCGAGTCAAAGAAAAGAAGAAGGATTTTCAAAAATTGGACGGCAACGGAGTTCCCGAGCCAAGAATTTGAAAAGAAAAAATATGATATAAGCTGTAGGCAAAATTCCACAAATGGCATGGCAACACCATTCAAGGTTTTGACGAGGTCATATAAGCAAGTGTACTGTGGTTGGAAGAGTACAAGGGGCAGCACGCTTCCTTTTAAAGTTTATATTTAATAATTTTAGCATGGATATTTTTAGTATGAAATTTTAAACATGGATTCCTTTTGAAAAAGTAAGGAAATTGTTTCTATTGAATTATATTTTTTCTCAAGCATATAAAGAATGTTCTATGAAAACCAAAGTAATTTGTTAAAGATAAGGATTTATTTTTATTTATTCATGGCAGTGTAAATGTGAGGTTATAAACTAATGTATGGCCAATGTACGGACGCATCTACATGACAGTTCATTTCCTTGAAAGAAAAAATAGTGAGATTTTTAATTGGCTACTGGGAACTTTTTCAGTATCAAGAGTGAAATGAGCTACTGGTTATAACACTTCCAGTTATGTGCAAGATACTGAAGCAATAAGAATCAAAATCAATATAAGTAACGTAAATTTGTAGAATTACTTTCGAACGTTAAATAGAATCATCTACTTCAGCTGCAGCAATGAAAATCACGAAGGAGAAGCATGTGCTTAAGTGGTGACAATAGGCGAAAATTCGAGAAATATTCCAGCTAAGGAAAA